ATCTAATCACTTATAGTTCGTAAAAGCAGTTTCCTACAGAAGTATTAACACTTCCCAAGTGTATTGATTTCACCATTCAGCTTTACTGGAACTCTTGCAATCTCAAATTAAATGTCGCTACTGTCATTTAAACAACAAACTGCACTAATTTCCTACCCTGTCAAAGTCCTTCAGTGGGTTCTCCAGGCTCAGGTTCAAAAGGTTCCCCAGGACAGGCAAGATGGGGGGTCCTGGTGGGAAGTTCTTTGGCCTCTGAGATTTGAACAAGACGATGACGAACCAAACAAAAATCCATAGCAGAAAGAGTGACACAAACATGTTTCTATGAGGAAAAAAGACAATTCTGACATGCAGCAACAGAATGAAGGTGCTGCTGCTAGCTCTGCCCAGTTTGTTTAAGGACTTTGTTTCTCTGTATGAAAGGTGAATGAAGCCATCAATGTAAAAAAGGTAAAGGACCAAGTTCAGACTGGGTCTGACGAGAACTATCTGGGTCAGATGTAAAGTCCACTGATAAGCTGACGCTGTAGATAAAGAGGGCAGAAACCATCTGTCCTACCAGAGGTAAACTTAGGCGATCTTTACTGGGACCAGTATGACCCACCTAAAATACCTAAAAAATAAAGTGTTGTTGGTTTTTTCAATTATTTTCCACTTAATCTATTCTGAATACTGAGCATTGTTATTGTGCTTTGCTTCATATAAACTCTGGTATTAAATACAACAACAGTATCAGGGTGTGGTTTGAGCTCAAAGGAAAGCCTGTCCTTGTCGTTCAGCGTGCCGAGGCCAATGACACAACTCTGAATGGTTCCTGGTATCAGGGCCAGTAAAACCCTGGAAGACAGAACACATCACCGCGGTTCTGAAGTCCACTGGCTCAGAAAACACTTTAAAATACTTTCGTTTATAAATCACCGTATTGAATGGCTTAGCACCAGGATACATTAAAGATCTGTTGTTGTATCGACCACTCAGACCTGGTTCTGGTCTGTTCTGCATCCCCAGATCTAGAACCAAACATGAAGAACCAGCATTCAGGTTTCATACTCCTCTAATCTGGGACAAACATCCAGAAAAATTTGCATTTGAAGAGTATACAAATGAAATACATTGGCTGGTCTGATAAATATATTGGAGCTTCCACATTAAAAAGATCCCATCTCCATTTGAGGTAAAAAATAAAGGGGACATATTATGCAAAAGTTCACATTTTGTACCTTTTTTGTACTTCAATTTTAGTTTCTACTGCTCCTAAAAACAGTCCAAGTGCTTAAAAAAACACCCCAAAGTTTTTTGGCAATAAATTCATGTTCTTTGGTGTTTGGAAAATGAGCCATTTCAAAAACCTCCAGCATGTAAAGTCATAAATCAGCAGGCAGAACACCAGTACCTCTCAACCTAAGCTGAGCTCCAGCACATTTGGTCAGCTGGTTTTAACGCTGTACAATGGCTGCTGGAAAACACAGCGGAGATGTTCAGATTTTTATTGAGAGGGCCCAAAAAAGAAAGGACCAGAAAGGAGTAAATCAGAAGCTCACTTAGGTTGAGTTTTTCTGATGAACTTAGGAAGGCTGAGATGTTTTCGATTTGTGATAGAACAAACAGGGAAGAAAAACAAAGGAAGACTTCAAAAACATTCAGGTATTTAGCGAAACAGTATCTAAAGAGGAGGATGTGAAGGATAGGTTGAGGTGGAAACCGATAATATCCAACGGAAGAGAGGAAGATGAAAGTTGGTATATTATCCATAATAAATAAACTAACACCTATCAATGGATTCTGACTCTGATTGACAAGACATTGATAAGTTGATCCTTTCAAAATAATCTGATGACAAACAGATAAAGTGAGAAACTCTTTTAATCTTTACATTTAGTTTCAACAACCAAGGAGAGGATAAAAACTCCTGCATTAGTGCAAGTTTTGGTGCCATTCCCACATGCGAAATGCAATGAGAGTTAGGTAAACATTAAGTTTTTTCTTTCCCATCTAAAATGTTCCCTAAATAAAAAATATTTCTGGAAAGTGATTTGTTCTTTAAGGAAAAATGTTGCAGTAACTCCTCCATGCCTGTATGTGGCGACGTAGCAGTCACTGAATTACACCATAAAAATGCTTATGCAAATAAAAGTAAGCTTGTTAAACATTAAGAGTTGATTAGCGGCAGTTATTTATTTAGTTATTTATTTAAATTGCTCATTAAACTCAGAGATTCTGTGCCGTCCTCACATTGAAGATCTCAGCTGGACCTTCATGTAGTAAGGTTTTGGTGACTGAGTGATTCCATAGACCGGAGTGAAGTCAGGTTCTCCTGCATCCTCCGGCCAGATGAACTTAAACTTCCTCAGCAGAGTCACGATGAAGAGGAAGAGCTCCATTCGAGCCAAACCCTCCCCCAGACAAACCCGAGGACCTGGAAGACAGAAAAAAAGATTAATGTCACTGACTCATCAACTCAGATGTACAAAGATATATTGGGGTCATTACAGAGGGAAAGAAAGGAGGATTAAATTTCCCATAAAGAATAATCTCAGAAATCTTCTAGAAAAAACAAGGACATTTCTGAGCTCCAAGTCAAAAATTTGCATGAAAGAAACAAATTTTTAGATTAATCTCAAAACATTTCTAGAAAAATCCTGAAAATTTCTGAACTTCAAAAGTTGAACATTTGTAAGAAAAACTGAAAAATTTAGATTAATCCCAGAATCTTTCTAAAAAAAAACTTAACTTTTGAAACTCAGAATTGTTTTTCTAGAAAATTTCTGAAATCAATCTCAAAATTTCACAGTTTATTGGCGGACATTTACTCCTTTTATTTTCTATCTGCGATGGCCCTTATTTCATTGTACCTGCAGAGAAAGGCATGAAGGCCTCAGGTTTGACAAACTCTCCCTGTTCATTCAGGAAGTTTTCAGGGTTGAACTCATGAGGGAATTTCCACTGTCCTTCTTCTCTCAACACTGAGGTCAGGTTCTGGATGATCATTGTGCCCTGAAACCAAAAAGACAACATGATGGCATTGCTGTTCTTCTTATGAAATCATTAATGTTTAACTCACTTTGGGAATGGAGTATCCCATGAGCTCTGTGTCCTTAGTGGTGCAGTGGAAGACACTGAGAGGAACTGTGTTGGCAATCCTCTGGATTTCATGGATCACAGCCTGATTTAACAAAATTTCTCTCATTAAATTCAAGCAAAGACAAATAAAACCAGAAAAACAAAATGGCTTAAAGTTACCATTGGAAAACAGTCCAAGCATATCAATTTTTAAGCTCTGAAAACCAGATTTTTTATGCAAACATCTGTTTAATTTATAAAGTTCTTCAGTTTGTCTCTTTGAGATCATGTATCATAACCAGAGTTACAAGAGCGACCTCTGGAGGTGAGTGCAGCTTCCCAAACTGCTTTTAAAAAACTGCTTTCTGTTTTGTTGCTACAAGTCGTGCCTGACGTTCTGAATAGAAATCAAAATAAATCATCTGATGGCTCAACCTGCACATAAGGCATGCTGAGTCTGTCCTCGAAGCTGGCCCGATCCTTCGCCTGCAGCACCTGGTCGATCTCCTGCTGACATCGCTCTGAGGAATCCAGAGTTGCTGCATGTTACTGCCCAAATTAAACCGTAATAAATCACACTTATCCCCATCTCATGTAAGGAGAATACTGAATAGTCAGATGATTAAAGCAAAACTGAAGCAGCAGTGAAAACAAACGGTCACAAAGATGACAGAAGGAATTATTTTCTACTTTGTTTTTTTTTTTCCTCTTCCTTAATCTTTTCCCACTCTTAAACTTTCACTTTGAGGTCAAATAAAACTCTCGGGTTCACCAAACAAAACTGTGACAATAAGAATATGACCCTTGCTTTTATGACTCAAAAACCAAGAGTCATAATGCACCTCAGATCTAAATATTTAAATACTAGATCAGCCTAAGACCATTTTAAAACCACAAGAAGCAGCAAGAGAAAACAGATGTTTTTGTAGTGAACAAGAAAAAGATTGCTACATTTAACCTGACACTAAAACATTGCATTTACAGGCATGTAAATGTTGTTGAGGCTACCTTGTATGTGTGGGTAGTTCATCAGGTAAAGAAAGCCTGTGAGCAGAGTGTTGGAGGTGGTGTCAGTCCCAGCAAAATGAAGATCCAGAATGTAGTTTATGAGCAGTTCCTCTGAAAATGAAGAACCGTCATCCTTCCTCTGCAGACGGGGACACAGAAAAATGTAAGGCAAACTAATATAAGATAATTACCCTTAGTTATACTTTAAGAAATGCAACACGAGCATCAGAAAATTACATCCTTCGGTCATTTCAAATTAAAGTCAACTTTTGTTGGATACAAGCCGCATGTATTTTTGCATTTCCCTCATGCATACATGTCAGATAACTAAACCAATTTAATATCAATCCAAGAATGTCATGAATGCTCACGCTAGTTAGCATGGGCATGGATGATGAAGGATAAACAGTGTAGTTGTTTCTCCACAATTAGCACATTTAGCAGCTTTTACATAAGCCTGATTGACAGCACTAAGATCCTCCTCTTGGCTCTGATTGGTGCATTTCTTCAGATGCAGGACGTGGATTAGTTTTATGATGTTGCGAAGCCTGACTGACCACAGCTTTCATGTTTTAAATAGGGTTGACTTTTGTTACATACACACCTTATCCAATTCATCCAGGTAGCAGTCTAGGAAGTCCCGAGACTCACCGGGGACTTTGGTCTTCTTGTGCTCCTTCACCAACTCCATTGCAATATTCTGACAAGTCTAAACAGGAAAGCCATTCAAAGCAAAAAAAAAGGAGATTTCTATCATGCATTTTTACATTAACACCCGAAGACAAGAGGCAGGTGAGATCCAGGAAATGCTGTGTTTGCTTGTGTACTTTTTATTTAATGTCGACTGTCCAGCAGTTAATTGTTACCTGAAAGTGACAGATTTACTTTCACAAGTGAAGCATTACGGTTTTGCTATAAAGCTCATCTCCCCGCCCCAAACATGTGTTTAGCTTAGTAGAAGCTTTGTTCCATTACCTTGTAGTTTCTAAAGCCATTTCTGAATGGCAGCGGCAAATAGCGAGTTATGGGAAGAGAATCGTAAAGCTGCAAAGAGAAACAAGACATTAAGTTATATTCCTCATAAATTCTGGTTTGTTTCACACCAACTGGTATGAACAGATTTATTTCATAAGTATGGCATCTGAATTCAAACAGGAGACTGATCTGACCTGAACTACAACAAGCAAATACTACAATTTTAAGCTAAGATGAACACAGAAAGGCCTTGTTTTAACAGACGAGGTTAAAAGGTTTGTTATCATGGATATCTGGCAGAAAGACTTGAGTTATAACCAAGATTTCCATCGTTTCGGCAGGAAAAATTGAAATATATGATTTAGTTCTAGCAACTCAGAGATGGACTTTGACTCACCATGGCCCAGGGTCCGTTGGCAATCTTTGCATTCTCGGTGAAGCACTGAACAATGATTTTAATCAACTCATCATTGTATTCATAGCGTTTACCAAACAAAACCTGGCAGATGATGTTGGAGGCTGCATTATGGAACATAACCTGGGGACTCAGTGTGCCGCCTGCAAAAATAATTTGATTAAATAAAATTAATTAAAATGAGAGAAATTTAAGAAACAGATCATTTTTGATCATGCAAATGTTGCAGAAAGTACAGGATGCACACAAGATGAAATACCTGTGCTCTGTTCTAGAGTTTTGATGGTGAACTGAATCTCATCATGAATTCTGTCTTCCATTGATGTTTTTCCGAGACCAAAGTTTCTCAGGGTCATCAGAGCAAAGCGCCGATGCTCTCTCCATCTCAGACCATAGTCTGCCAGAATCACTCCTGAAACAAACATAAGAACACAACAACAAAGATTTACACTGACAAAATATATTTTCTACATATTTATGTCAGATTAGAGCTGAAAGAAAGGAATGGAATGAATACAAAGGATTACAATGGCTTTCCATGCATAAGTTGGCCACCAGTGAGTAAAAACTCAGAAATATTTAGGTTAATCTCAGAAAAATTCTAGAAAAAAAACTTGGAAATTTCTCAGTTTGAACAGTCAAAAACTCAGAAATGCTGAGATAAATCTCTTTTCTAGATAAACTTTGAAATTTTTGAGTTTCAAAACTCAAAAATTTTTCATGTTTGAAACTCAAAAAATTTCAAGTTTTTCCTAATAGATTTCTCAGATTAATCTCAAAATTTCTGAGTCTGTATTTGAAAAAATGTTATGACTTTATTCTTATATTATTTAGACTTTATTCTTGTAATATTATGACTTTATTAATATGGCTTAATACTCCATAGTACTCCAAGACCCCGGGGTTTTGTATAAAAATGTGTTTTTCTTATAAAATCTTAAATTTTAATTCATATCTTCCAAGACATTTAGCCTAGAAACAGCAAAGGCTCGTTCCCATTTTTTACGCCACCTGAAATGATTTTGGAGTTTCTCATTTCTCTTTATCTTTCTGAAACAATAGAAATTATTGACCATATCTCATATGCTGGCAACAAAATCGTTTTCATTTTGGGCCACATGAGGATCATGAATGTTCTTAAAGGGCCGGTTGTGTCAGATTGTATCAATAAACTCAATAAACTGTTAGAAACATTTCTGCTCTTGATTCTTAAGTTCTTCTTAAAATGAAATGATATTGAACAGTTTCAAACTGATCAGTCCCTCCAGAATGTCACAATTGTTTCAGTGATTTTTTTTTGTCATTACAATAAAAACTTTTCTGGTGCAAATTTAGAAATATTTGCAAGAAACGTTGCAATATTTGCATTTGAGTATGATGATAAATGTGACTTTTTATTACTTGCAAATAACTGATCACAGACCAGAACTTGACATCAAGTAAGACCGAGTCAGAAGTGCAGAAGTAAAATATACTGCCACCTGCAGGTAGGAGTTGCCATCACTTCAGCCAATGTTTCTGACCATTTTACTGGAAATTTTTCAGTAAACTCAGTTTGTTGAAAAAAAGTCACAATTTGTTGATTTTGCGTGAATTTCCACGATCACAGTAAAAGTGGAAGCATTAACTAATGTAATTACTGATGAATATAATATTAAAGCACAGAACTGTATGCATAAATATGTTTTATTTATGCATACTTCCAGAGTCTAGAGGGCCACATAAGAAGCTGGGGACCGTATGGGTCAAACCATATGTGTTTGACGCATATGGTTCCCTCTTAATCAGCTCTTAAATGCTTCAGGATGCTTCTGGGATGTAATACCTACCTCTATTCTGGGTGACGTCATTTACAAACATGTCTTGTGGTCTTCCAGCAAAATCAGCACCTTTGGTCACTATGGCCTCCTTCATGGCCTTCAGCCCGTTCAGGACCACAGCGGGTCTGGGACCAAGGAACAGACTGTACACGTTTCCATATGTGTTCCTGAGCTGTTAGGAAAACACAAAATGTCATTTTAACAGTAAACACCAATATTAGAAACTATTAAATCAGTACTGTGTCACAGTTGGACCATTTTCAGTGAAAAATCCTAAATCACTGCATTAGAACAATCACATTTTATTGAGTTATATTATGTTAATATATTGTTCTGTTCAGCCATTTTCCTGTATGTGAATAAAAGTCAGAAACTCGTTGTACAGGGTCATTAGAAATGATAAAATACTTTCAAATGTAGAAAAACATTGTTTTATGAATAGGGTCTCTTAAAGTTTGTCCAGCTGATGCCATGTAAATTATCACCTCTTCACAGATAAAGGAGACATTAACTTTTTTGTTCAGAATGCATTCATTTAATATAATAGTCAATGTAAAAAGAACAGCATTAACTGGTCCAGCCCTCAGCTTACAACAAAAGCAACCCAAAGTCTGAAAACATAATGTTTGAAGCAAACACACATAATTTAAATGAGTCAGTGTCAGAAGCTGACACGTGAAATGTCTCAACCTCATTATCTTTTAGTAAGGTATCATTAATCAGTCGTAATAGACCCACCCAGTAATCGGTTCACAAAGGATACAAATGACAAAACACTCCCTGATGGAAACATGCCAAGTGTGTAAGAGGTCAGCTCTAACCGATTTCTGCACTTATATCACGTTTATGCACAAATAAAAGTCATTTTTCTGAGCAAACTAGACCTTATAGGCTGGAAATACAGAAAAATATTGAATGCATTTGAGTTTCATTCTGATCATCTCGGTAAAAAGACTGGATAAAAGCATTAGATCAGAAATAAGGTAAGGCTTTTTACAGTGTATTAATAACAGAGATGGGCTGCTTTCCAAGAATGCACCAACCTGTTACGCAATGATAACGTCTGTGTTCAGCAGAGGGAACACTAGTTAAATACAGCGGTGGGACGCAACACAGTGCTTGTACTTTGTTACTGTACTTAAGTACATTTTTCATGTATCTGTACTTAAGTAAATTTAATTGTGGGTACTTTCGACTTTTACTCCACTACATTTTACAGCAAGTATCTGTACTTTCTACTTCACTGCATTTAAATAAAGTGTTGTGTCAAACATTACATCCAAGACGTGTTGCGCTTTTTTTGATTTGTTTGTTAGTTTGAAAGTAATCAATGGCGAGAGGGGAACTGGTCCATTGTAAAGTGGGAAAGTAGCGTCATCCTCCCTACAGAAGAGCAAGGCGGGTCGCAGCACCTGCAGAATCACTAACACCCAACATGGAGTCTCCTAAGAGTCATCATCCAGAAGACCTGCGCCACCCAGCGCCCTATTTAAGATTCATTCCAGTTAACCGGGTCAAAAGTCGACTCCTGGACATTCCTGAACCTCCTTTGCCTCCCCTGAAAGCATGAACTTCTAGCATTAAAAAAATGTTAATATGGTACTTTTACTTTTACTACAGTACATTTTTGTCTGTTTATTTGTACTTTTATTTAAGTACATTGTTTGACTACTTTCTCCACCACTGCTTACATATGATAAACTTTGGTACATTTCAGAACAATTTCTTTAAATTTGTTACAAAACTAAAGTGTTCCAGCAAAAAATTACAATTTCAAAACATATTTTACACTTGATTTCAAAGAGGACAATTAAAAGTTAATTTATGTTTCTTACCCTCTCCAAGTCCTTCAGCGGATTCTCCTGGCTGAGGTTGAAAAGGTTCCCCACCAACGGCAGCGTGGGGGGTCCAGAGGGGAAGTTCTTGGGTCGCCGAGGTTTGAGCTGGAATAACAGGAATGCAATGCAGAGGCACAGGAGAAGCACAGAACCCAACATGATGGATGAGAAGCTCTGATGGACTGTGGAAGAAGTGCCTGGGCTCTGCTCTTAGTCCTGCCTCCTGTGGTTGTATTCTTTGTTCCTCTGTCGCAAAGGTGTGGCAAAGACAACCAGGAAACCCACTAGCAAAGGGTTATACTCACAAAGTAGATGGCAGTTTTACTCAGCCATCTACTTGGCTGAGTAAGTCAAGTAGATTTATATGACTAAAGTCATGTGACTTTAGTCATATTACTAAAGTCACATGACTTTAGTACTTACTAACTTTAGTTACTAACAAAAATAAGATTTTTCATATTTATTAAAACTGTCACAATGTGACAACCTGTGAAAAGATCAATCTCTTCTCCTTCCACTCTCAGCTGCCATTGCCATCTGAAGAAATGCTCCACTTCCAACCAAAAACAACAAATCAGAGCCAGGAGGAGGGGCTTAGCGCTGTCAATCAATGCTGCTTGATGCACTAACAACTTAAATTTATTTGACTTAAAGAGTAGAAGACATTAGACACTACTAAATGCGGCTCAAATGTTTTCCAGTGTAAAAGATAAATACTGCAGCTTTAACCCGTGTCCAAACTGTTTGCACTGATGGCCAAAAGTCACCAAGAGGAAAGCTTTGAGGGGCCACAAGTAATTATTTTTTTTCAGCTAAAACGCAAAATAGCTTTATGGTGAATCTTTTCCTTTTTACAAATTAATGTGTTTTAATTTAAAAAGTCAGAAAAAGGCTCTCAAAGTTGTACAGTTGATTACCATTTTTATTTTGTTACCAGCAACAGAAATGAGAACTGTCTGTGAAAACCCTTAGCTGTTATGTGCTTCGGGCACATTATGATGATTTTTGTCTATTTTTTTCTTATAGACTTTAGTTGAATGACCTTTTGTTAATATATTTTGGAGTTTGAATAATTTCTTATTTTTGGTAATTTGATCACTTTTATTTGTGGCGCTGTTGGTCAGCCTATAAATAGGCTGGGTTTGGGCATGTTGGATCTCCGCCCTTCCGCTCGCTCCACCACCACCAGGGATGCGTCTTGACGTGGTGCGCGCACGTCCAGTCGCTGTGGGCCGCAGCTGACGTTTCCAACCTGCCATGCTCTGTTAGCCTTTGTTTGCTTGCTTCGAGATGTGGAAGAGCTGATCTCATGGAAGGAACACACCAGTTCTTCCTCTTTGCCTTTGTTCTTTGCCTTTGTCTTTATCTTCATCTTTGCCTTGGTCTTTGTCTTCATCTTTGGGGTCCCAAACCCAGCTGATGAGAGAAATGCAATTTGAAGCCACATGTTGCGGGGCTAAAAGATTGCTCCCCATGAGCAGAACAGTCTTCGGCTCTGTGGCCCCGGCTCTTCTTCAGCTGCAGAGTTCTTTGTCCATCTCAATCTTGGCTTGAAGCTTCCTGAAGGATCCAACCAAAGACTCCTCTTTTGCACTCACCTGATAAAGGGTTTATCCACTCTTTTAGTGCATTTGCATAGGCTAACTTTGTTGCTGTGCCTGTCTCATTGGCTGACTGCTTGGACCGATGATCTCATATCCATCACCGTCTTGGAGACCTTATGACCTGATGTCTGTACTAATGTCCCAAGTTGCTCAGCAGTCCTCTTGTGTCTAACCTTTTCTTAGGAAAGTTGAAGTTTAGCAATAAGGCGTTGGACACCTATCAGTTCCTCCTTCTCCCTGACTTTTCACCTACCATCTACCTCCAACACATCATCAGTGACCTTTAGTTACAGTTACACATTTTACCACATTTCAAGTTCAATGCCAAAATCACATTTATAACCTTTTAGTTTATCTGATTTAGCATTCATTTATAATTTTATAATAACCATTACTTATTAGTTACTCTTATAATCATAATGTGAGTTCTTACAGACATTTCTGAAAAGAAACCAATAATAATTCATTATTCTAATCATTTGACACCATGTTACAGTTACTTGTTTCACCTGTAAGTATTTCAATAAGTATAAGAGTAAGTGTAAATATTCTTATAATCAAACCAACATCAACCAATATTAATTATCGGCTTAATCATAAGTTATCGTTATTAATTTAAGTATTTTACTCTGGGTTTTATTCAATTTCTCAAAACGTCTAGAATTTATTCCTTAAACCTTTAATGCCCAAAATGAGCAGTTTGAACTATTTTTATTCACTGCAGGCTGGAAACTTCCTCTTTCTCCAGGAAACCTGCTTTTCCTGTTGCATAACTCTCCTGTCTGACTATGATTTTTTATGATTAAATAGAAAAAAGTAGAATTAAAGCAGGACACAATAACAACACACACA